GAGCCCATAACAGCAAATTTTCCCATAACAGCAAATGTCCGGGGGTGTTTGCAGAGCACAAGCACTGAAGTTCAGAAACATCCCTGATTAGTCACCTTCCCAACTAGTCAATTGCCCTGCATCCACAGCTGATTGATTACTGCCGGATCGCACCTACCCAGGCCTGGGCTCCCAGCCCTGGGGAGGGGGTCCCGCAGGTCGGTGCTGACTGACAGCTGTTGCCAGCGCCCTGCCACAATGACGGCGGCAGACACTGCCCTCACCTCATGAGTACCCCCACCACACCCCCTCCAACACCAACACCCCCACCAGCACCCCTCACTCTAGACCCCCACCAGCTCCCACCCCCCATCAGTGTCCTATTTTGGGGCACCTGGAATATGGTCAGCCTAGCAACAAACATAATTAAAAACTCACCATTCTACATGCACTGGTGTCACAGGCATTTAAATGGCACAATATTCAGCAGATCATGAGTTTTCCAATGACCCCTCACCAGGCACACTTTGCACACAATATATCGTAACCATACGCAAGTGGTGAACATGGGGCACAGGGGTTAGTCACAAGAGGGATGCAGTGTGAGGCGAGTGGGGCAAAGAAACTCTGTCATCCCAACACAGGACACGGCAGTACATGGGGAGGGCATGACAGGCGGGGCTGTAAGATTCCTCATCTCCATCTGGCTTCAGTGATGGGGATTGGCCTGGCTTCAGGGCTGCCCAGGTCTCCTAACATCTCTGTCTCTCTTTTTCGCTCTGCCGAACCTCAGCATCTTAGCAATAGGGAGACGCTGCCCCCTCCTCACATCATTTCTCTCGGGGTGTCGTTCATGGGCCTTTAGAGTTCAGGTCCAGCTTCACACTACACAGGTCAAGTCTAGTTGCTCTCTGGAACTGGTGCACCAAGTTCACAGTTCTCAGCCTCAGCCGTCTGGGGCGGAGGAGCAAACTCAGCGGTTTCCCAGGTCTGTTCCCCTTCACCTTCTCCCACCCCCCCCCAACAGTATCACACATCACTGCAGGGATCAGGCAATAACTTCATTTCCATTTCAGATTCTGCCTCTCGGAGTCTCAATCTAGCTCTCACCATCAGTGTTCATACTGCGAGATATTGTTCACTGTCGTTGTTCAAACCACACACAAAAATCTCACGACAAAGAGTTAGATAAACATTAACATAAAATAAAATTTTAAAAAGGACGATTCTGGAAAATAACCATTTTTCTCTTGAAATCCGTAATAAATCTGTGACACATCCTGTCAAACTAAACTAATATCAAAGTACGTGACCTCGCGGCCTTCACAAAGAAAGAGAAATCCACAGTTCAGGGCAGGCTATAAAATGATGTCACATTCATAAAGTGAAATCTCAGAGAATCCTTTAAGACTCAAAATCAGGAAAAGAAATTTACCCATTTTCTTCTGAAGTGGCTAAACCGGCATCACGTCTCGCCTCATTATTCAGCTGTATTAGTTACAAAGGTTTTAGCATCATAATCATAAAAGAGAAAGAAAGACAAAAAAACCTTCCCATCTACAAATGATCTGGACTAAACCTAGAAAAAGCAAGGAAGCAATTTTACCAATAGATGGAAACACGGCTATAAGATCTGAAGGTCAAACTGTGCTTTGAAGTTCATTGAGATTTTCCTACCCACTCCCAGGTCTGGGACACTTTCTTCTCCAGCACTCAGGAGTCTGACTTAAGATCACAGACATCAAAGCTGTGACCCCTAAGCATGGAGAGCCAGGAACACAGCGGTAAGTGACACCTTGGGAGATATAGGGGTAGAACCGAGACAGGTTAAACTTTCCATGACTGGGACAGAGGCTGCTGTGTGGAGAGTGGAGCGCGACAGTGACAGGAGAAGGAGGGAATCTCTAGCACTCACCCCATCGCCCTGAAATAGCACAGAAGCTAAAACACCACATTTTACTGTCCCTGCTCCCCACTATTTTAGCATTTAGTTAATTCTGGTGCATAAGGGGTAAAATGTACAAACACTAAATGCTTTTCAGCACAGCCTGCTGTAATGTGAGACTATCTGGGAATGAGACAATCTGGCCCTGAAGGGGGAACTCAGGGACTAGCAATCACTCTGCTAACGGGACGTCGGGGGATCAGAAACTGTTCCCTTCAGGTTACACAACTGCACTGCAGGCTATCGAAGACCGTGGAGGCAGGCAGGGAGAGGAGCCCCTCCCCAGGCTTGGCCCAGATCCACCAGAGCTGCTGGGGAGAGGAACCCCTCCCTCAGTCCAGCTCAGGACCACTGGAGCCGCTGCGGCTGGGGAGAAGGTGCCTCTCACCCGGCCCCAAGTTGCTGCGGTGAGAGAGGGCTGGGGGGAGTCCTCTCCCCACTGCAGTCTGCACCCCAAACCCTTCATCCCCAGCCCCACCCCACACGCCTAGCCAGAGCCCTCACCTTCCCACACCCCATCCCTATGTCCCAGCCCTGAGCCCCCTTCCACACTCCGAAACCCTTGGCCCCACCCCCACCACATGAATTATGTTCTGTGCACCAATATGGAGATGATGTGTCACATATTAGTGAATAGAACCAAATTCATGCCGCACATGGATGTAAAAAATGAGGGAACACTGGTCAGAACACATCAGATGCTCAGAGTGAGTTTACACTAGGAAATCTGGTGGAGGGTCACAGAGATCTGCTGGCTAATCCCGACCACACCTCCTAGCATAGACAGAACTTCAGAGGCTGATGCTATGGAGGCAGAGGTGGGATCTCCAGGCCTCTGACAAAAGATCCTGTGGGAATCAGTCCCTCTCAGTGGAGCTGTCTGAATGCAGGTGGGGGCAGGGGCAGAGGGGTGGAGTGAGGAGAGGCAGCACCTCTCTACCCCTGTGCTCTCCCTCATCTCTTATCCCATGATCCCCAAACACTCGATACCCCAGCACCTAGCTCCTCCTGCTTCCCATCTCCACCAGCCCCAACCATTCAATCTCCAGTGACCTCCCCAGAACCCAAAGCCCTGGTCCCTTAACATTTGATTCCACCAGAGCCCAGCACCCTGGGGGATTTGGGCAGGGGAGGAGTTACCAGCCCCCCTGGACACTCACCCTGCAGGGAAAAGTTCCAGGTAATTGGTGGAGTCCAGCCAAGGGGCTGGTGGAAGATGGGGGGTGGGCACAGGGGTCTAGAGTGAAGGTGGGGCCTGGCCCAAGTGTCCTTCTCCTCATCTCCATGGCAGGGGGATCCCGGCTGGGAGGGGGAGGGAGAGGGGGGAACTTCAGCCAGGCAGAGGGAACAGCTGGAGGAGTTTCTCTCTCTCCCTTCCCCGACTTGTGGCCCATCAGCTCAGCAGCCAGGGCTGCAGCAGGGAGGAGGGGCTGATCGGGGCTTCCCCTCCTCTGCCTGGGGTTTGCTTAGACTAGGCAGAGCCAGTGGGTCACTGACCAGCTGATGCTCGGCTGCTGCTGGATCCTCACCCAGCGATGGGCAGCTGGATCCTTGTGAGCCAAAAGCCCCTGACGTGTGTGGGAACGAGGAAATGGGGTTGTTCCTATGGCCTAGTCAGGGCCCTGAGAGAATTTCCCTGCTGTGTGGGGGAGTCTCTGATGTCCAACATGGTGTTAGCTCCACTTGGAGCATTTTCTGCACTGAGAACATCTCAGCGGTTTCTTCCCTGTGTGGATTTCTAGATGCTTGATACTCCGGGAGCACCTAATGAAGCTTCCTACACATTCAAGACCTCTCTGCTGTGTGGGTCACTGAGGTGTGAAGTCAAATTGAATCTTTTTCTGCAGTCAGGCTACTCCTAGGCTCTCTCATACGGATACTCTGACTTTTAATGAGGGGTGATCGCTGAATGAAGCTTTCCCCACAGTTCAAGCACTGACGAGGTCTCTCTCCTGTGTGGATCCTTTGATGTGTTACAAGGGCTGACTTCTACAGGAAACATTTCCGACAGTCGAGGCAATTCTGAAGTTTGTCTTAAGAAGGAATGTGAGGTGTGCAATAAGACGAGAGCTCCAATTAAACTTTTCCCACTTTCAAAATATTTATTGTGTCTTTCTCACATGTGGGTTTTCTCATGTTGAGTGAGTTTTGAGCTACAGTTAAAATTTTCCCCACAATCCAAGCATATATAAAGTCTTGCTCCTGTGTGGATTCTCTGATGTCTAATAAGTTGTGAGCTTAGTATGAAACCTTTCCCACAGTCCAAGAACTTATGAGGTCCCTCTCCTGTGTGGCCATCAGGTACAGCCCCCAGCTAAAACCTCTCCAGTGCATCATCAACGATCTACAACATATCCTGGAAAACGATCCCTCATTCTCATAGACCTTCGGAGGCAGGCCAGTCCTCGCTTACAGACAGCCCCCAATCTGAAGCAAATACTCACCAGCAACTACACACCACACCACAGAAACACTAACCCAGGAACCAATTCCTGCAACAAATCCCTTTGCCAACTCTGTCCCCATATCTACTCTAGTGACACCATCATAGGACCCAACAACATCAGACTCACCATCAGGGGTACATTCACGTGCACATCTACTAATGTTATGCCCCTCTGCCATGTACATTGGCCAAACCGGACAGTCCTACGTAAAAGAATAAATGGATGCAAATCTGACATCAGGAATGGTAACATACAAAAGCCAGTAGGAGAACACTTCAGTCTCCCTGGACATTCTAGAACAGATTTAAAAGTTGCCATCCTTCAACCAAAAAACTTTAAAAACAGACTTCAAAGAGAAACTGCAGAGCTACAATTCATTTGCAAACTTAACACCATCAATTTGGGCCTCAATAGGGACTGGGAGTGGCTGGCTCACTACAGAAGCAATTTTCCCTCTCTTGGTATTGACCCCTCCTCATCAGTGATTGGGAGTGGACCACATCCACCCTGACTGAATTGGTCTTGCCAGCACTGGTTCTCCACTTGTGAGGTAATTCCTTTCTCTTCATGTGCCAGTATATTTATGACTGTATCTGTAATTTTCACTCCATGCATCTGAAGAAGTGGGGTTTTTTACCCACGAAAGCTTATGCTCAAATAAATCTGATAGCCTTTAAGGTGCCACCAGACTCCTCCTTTTGTTATTAAGGGCTGACTTCCAATGGAAACCATTCCCGCAGTGCAGGAATTTATAGGGTCTCTCTTCTGTGTGGATTCTTCAATGGTTATTACGTTTTCTGCTGTAACTGAAGCTTTTCCCACATGCCAAGCATTTATTAAGTCTCTCTCCTGTGTGGCTTGCCTGACGTGTAACAAGGCCTGATCTGAGTCAATTACATGCAAGCTGCTTAACCCTTTCTTGTCACGTGTCACAGAAGTTTAGATCCTGTGTGGATTCTCTGATGTTTAAACAGGGCTGATCTCCATGTGAAACTTTTCCCACAGTTGAAGCACTTATGGGGTCTCTCTCCTTTGTGGATTGCCTGATGTGAAACAAGGTCTGATCTCCGTATGAAACTTTTCCCACAGTCCAAGCACTTATGGGGTCTCTCTCCTGTGTGGATTGCCTGATGTCTAACAAGGTCTGACCTCCGTATAAAACTTTTCCCACAGTCCAAGCACATATGGGGTCTCTCTCCTGTATGGATTGCCTGATGATTAAGAAGGTTTGACCTGTGTCTGAAACTTTTCCCACAGCCCAAGCACTTGTGAGGTCTCTCTGCTGTGTGGATTGCCTGATGATTAACAAGGTTTGATCTCCGTATGAAACTTTTCCCACATTCCAAGCACTTGTGGGGTCTCTGTCCTGTGTGGATTGCCAGATGTTTAAGAAGCACTGACCTCATTATAAATGTTTTCCCACAGTCGAAGCAGTTATGGGGTCTCTCTCCGGTGTGGATTGCCTGATGATTAGTAAGATCTGACTTGCGTGTGAAACTTTTCCCACAGTCTAAGCACTTATGGGATCTCTCTCCTGTGTGGATTGCCTGATGTGAAATTAGTGCTGACTTAGAACTGAAACATTTCCCGCACTCGAGGCATTGAATGGGCTTCTCTCCAGTGTGGCTACTCCCATGGTTATTAAGATCTGAGCAGTTATTGAAGCTTTCCCCACAGTCCAAGCATTGAAAGCATTTCTTTCCAGAATGGATTGTCTGAGGTGTCACAAGTTGTGATCTTAGAATTAATCCTTTCCCAAATTGGAGGCAGGGCAAGGGTGTCTCTTCCTTGGGATTTGTCTGCTTCACTCTGGGATCCTTGTCTCCTCCCCCACCGTTAATAGATTCATCCACTTTCTTCCCTGGGTGGTTTTCCAGCAGCTTCTCTGACATGTGCCAATTTCCCCAGACTTCTCCCTGTTCCACGCACTGGGAAAAATTCCCTTCAGTTCTTCCCACAAATGTCCCCTGTTGTTCCACTTCACCGGGAACTTCCTCATGATGATTCCCCTCCTCATTCTCACTCCCTCGCTCAGCACCTGTTGGGAGAGAGACAATCCAGACAGGAGTCATTGTGCTGGGGAGAAAGAGGAATAGCACTGAGGGAAAACCCAACACAAAGACTGAGCAATTGGATTCTGCCTCCACATCCCACTCAAACACTCACAGGGAAGGAGAGATGGGAAGGAAACTCCTGCAGCTAACAGTATGGGTAAAATTCATGAGCGATATCTGCTGACTGCAGCCCTGTCCTGGCTGAGATAAGGAAGACCTGAGGGTGTCACTCACACCATATTTTGGTATTCTCAACTTTTCCCTTTATTCCCTAGATGGTTTCTGTGTCAGTTCTCACCTGTGCGGGCGCCTCTCGGGATCTCTCTTTCCTCGCAGGCCTGGAGATCGGGCACCCACGGCTCTTCCCCTCGTTCCAGCCGGGAGATCAGCTCAGGTTTGGGAATGGGAAATCCTGTGCAGAGGGTGAAATCAGACCAGATCAGGGTGCATGGAGCATTGGTGGAGTATTTGTCACCAAGGACATTCCGTGAGCGGAACGTTTCCCTGTGCTCTGCTGGAGAAACGTGGAATCCAAGAGGATGGGAAAATGGTCACTGAGCCCCCTTGCGCAGAGGAAGTTGTCTGGGGAGGTGAGCTGAATTATTACTACACCCTCACTAGGCGTTCCCAGGATCTGTGCGCTCTGGGGGCCTTGCTGACTCACACACAGCTCTGCACTTAAAACCCTACCTCTTTCTAAACCTGCAGAGCCCAGAGCCCTCCCCATGGCTGGAGCTAGTCCCAAAGAGGGAGGCGAACGGGGATTGTGTGTGCAGCCGAGAAACAACACAGACAGGACAATGCTGGATTTATGCCCCTTTGAAAGCTAGAGGGGTGGGGATGAGCTAACATGTCCATTAAGTTTTGACACCGTGTCTCACTGGAGAGGGCAAGGAGATGTAAGTCTCTCTCACATGGCAGCTGTGCATCATGGAACTCATTCGCCTCTAATCAGATTCAGACATGCAGACCCCACGACTTCCAATAACCGAGGGGACGGGAATCCCTTACCCAGCGAGGTCACTGTCTCGTAGTTCTCCTGCATGACGTCCCTGTAGAGGGCTCTCTGACCGGGGTCCAGCATAGCCCCTTGCCCGTGGGTGAAATACACAGCCACCTCCTTGAAGGTCACCGGCATCTGAAACACCAAGAGTCCCCCACTCAGCATCTGCTGCCCCAGCCACAATCCCACTAGTCACACAGGAGGAAGGATAAAGAAATGGAAGCTCTGGGAGTGCCAGAGTAGCAGAATCCCACCCCCACCATGCATAGAGCAGCCAGGAGGATTTAGCGGGTGGGGAGAAGTTGAGAGCTCCTCCCCCCCCCCCAGGACACGGAGCAGGGCAGGGTCTTCTCGTTTCCCACACACCTGCCGGCCAGAGGCTGATGCGGGAAGCAGAGCTCTGAGCCAGAGACAGGGACAGGAATCCCAGCAGCTTCCCTTCATATTTCGCAGCAGCCTCTGGCTAGTGGGGTCAGACTCCAGCACTGGGAGCCTGGAAAATGTTCCCAGCCCTGTGCAAGGGGGTTGTATCCTGTTTGAGAAATGGGGGAATGTCCCGTCTGCCCTCCCCCGTCACCAATGGGCCCACTCAGAAAATCAGCAGGTTTATCACACCCTGACTCCTCCCTGCCCCTGCCCACCAGCTCCCTGAAAATCCCAAACCTGAGCTGGATCCATCACAGCCATTTCCCTTCCCTGTCTCCTGGAAGATGGGCCGATCTGGAGCAAAACGTGGACGTGATTCCTCAGCCTGTCGGGGCGAGAGGGGCGATGGGGGAGGTTACAGAAGGGGCTTCAGTCCATGTCACACCCCGATTCCCCCCCAGACTCTTCAGACCCTCCCAGTAACACCATCTCTGAGCCAAATGCTAGAAAAAGAGCAGAATCAAAGGGGCCACTTTGGGGGATTGCCCCCCATTGCAGTGTAAACCCCTCTCCCTTAGCAACAGCCGGAGCCCTCTGGTGGCAACACCTGAATAATGAGCCGCCCTGGACTCCCCTGGCAGCCCCAGGGACAGGCAGGCAGAGGCTGATCCCATTGGCCCATCTGCACTCACCTCCTGCCAGAGCCAGCAGTGACTCCGGTCTGACACCGGTGTGGCTCAGATCTGAATCCTGCCCGGAAATCAGACCAGGGACCCGAGCAGCCCCCAACACTCAGGACACAAAGACCCCATCAGGCTGTGCAGGGCCGGCTCCAGGCATCAGCGTAGAAAGCAGGTGCCTGGGGCGGCCAATGAAGAGGGCAGCACGTTCGGCTCTTCAGTGTCAATTCGGCGGCGGCTCCTTCAGTCCCTCCCAGAGGGAAGGACCTGCCGCCAAACTGCCGCCGAAGAATGAAGCGGCGCGGTGGAGCTGCCGCTGATCGCGATAGCGGCTTTCCTAGGGCTACCATACGTCCCGGTTTCCCCGGACATGTCCGGCTTTTCGCTCTTTAAATAGTCGTCCAGGGGGGATTTATAAAAATCTAAAAATGTCCAGGATTTCCCCCCGGTCGGCTATTTATCGACCGAAAAGCGGATGACAGGGCGGCCGAGCGCCACTCGCATTGGGGCCTCGGCAGCCAAAGCCCCTTCCCGGCTCCCCCCATTCCCTGCACCCTCAGCACGCCGCCTGGCAGCACTGGGGGGTGGGGCTGTGCGCCTGTGAGGGAACGCGGTAGCGGCCAGAGCCCGTCCCCCGCTTCCCCCCTCCTCCACAGCCTCAGCACACCGCTCGGCAGCGCTCGGGTGGGGCAGGGCCAGACACCTGCTCTAAGCCGAGCAGCACGGTAAGGGGGCTGGGGAGTTGGAGAAGGGGGGCAGTCAGAGGACAGGGAGCGGGGTGGGGGGGTTGGATGGGTCGGGAGTTCAGGGTGGCTGTCAGGGGGGCAGGGGTGTGGAGAGGGGTTGGGACAGTCAGGAACAGGGAGCGGGGGGGGGTTAGATGGGTCGGAGGTTCTGGGGGGGCTCTCAGGGGGCGGAAAGTGGGAGGGAGTGACTGGCGGCGGGACTACCCCCCTCGTTTTTGAAAGTTCAGATATGGTAACCCTAGGCTTCCCCCCCCCCTTGGGGTGGCAAAAACCCTGGAGCCGGGCCTGGGGGTGTGTGACAATAACACACTGGGAGCAGGGGGTGTGTGTGTGGCGGGGGAGGGGGCTGGGACTCCCATACCCGCTTTGACCAGAGCTTCTCTCCGCCCCTACCCCCTCGTGTCCCATGGGGCGGAGAAGCTGCCTTGCCATCTACCCCCCTTCCCACATCCCCCCTTCCCCCGCCAGCCTCCCCACACACCCCTTTCCCTCGCAGTGCCCCCACTCACATCTTCCCCCATTCCAACCTCGCTCCCCTCAGCCCCACAATCCCCCCAATCCCCCTGCATCGCCTCATCTTCCCTTCAGTGCACCCCCGCCCCCATCCCAGCCTGTCCCCCGCATCCCCAGCACCGGCCTTCTGCGCCCATCCCCCTGCACCTCTTTATCCTCCTCCCCCTGCAGCCCGGGTGTGACCGACGGCGGGGCGGGTTTCTCTCACCTTCCCTCCGAGCGGGGCCCCCCTGGGACAGGGGCCGGGAAGGGGCCTGGCCAGGCTGGGGGCTCTGCCCTGGGAGAGGCTCCTGGGGAGCA